TTAATTTTAGTTTCGATTTGGTTCCTTTTTTTTTTTTTTCTCTGTTTTCTCCAGTCATTTTCTTCGTTTCTGTTTAGCACAAACGGAACTTGAATTTAATTTCATTTCAATTAAAATCACTCAAATTCTTGATTGAGGTTTTGATATGGGGAAATAAAGAAAGAAAAGATTAAGCATGAACTACGATTAGATTAGACTCCCGCCAAAGTAAAATTCCGAGCAGAAGAACTGTGAGTCTGTGACTGTTGGGTAATACCAACACGGTTTTTTAAATAGTAGGAAAGGAAGATTAAATTTTATCAATTATTTGTTAATTCAAATAGAAAGAATTTAATTTTTTAAAAATAAAGTTTTGAGTTTGAATATTATTAATAAAAAAATAAATATTGAAAGAGTTTTTATTCTTATGTTGTTCAACACAGTTCGATTATGAATTAATCAAAATTTAATATGATTTCTAAATATTACATAATTTGTAAAAAAAAAAAAAGGACTAGATTTAGAACGAAAATTTGAGATAAAACTTTTTCAATTATTGATTTGATGAGTTTACATGAGATTCATACCACCATCATCGAATGATTACTGTAAATTTTTCCTAAATTTTTCATCTTAAAAATTAGTCTTAATAACTATCCTTTTTGTACTATATAAGTATACAAATTATAAATATCACACCTTTCATGTTAAAACTAACTTTAGTTCTTTATTTTACAAAATTAATAGGTTTAATCCTTAACTTTATAATATAACACTTTTAACTCTTTACCTTACAAAGTTGGTAGGTTTTAACCCCTTACCTTATATTATGACATTTTTAGTCTCTTATCTGTATGAATTGAAAAAAATAACCCTTACTTAATATCATATTATAATGTTCTGTTAGTTCTATTAGTTGACTACAAATTCTGCTAACTGACGGTAAATTCTGTTAACTGACTGTTAGTTCTGTTAACTGATTGTTAACATCCGTTAGCAATCCGTTAATAGAACTCACAAATAAAATTGAATTTAAATTTAATGTTTTCTATAATGAAATGCTAACAGATGTTAACAGTCAGTTAACAGAACTAATAGAACGTTATAACTTGATGTTAGGTGAGGGTTATTTTTTTCAATTCGTATATGTGAGGGGCTAAAAATGTTATAATATAAGGTGAGAGGTTAAAACCTACTAATTTTGTAAGGTGAAAAGCTAAAACCTACCAACTTTGTAAACTAAAGGACTAAAAGTGTTATGTTATAAGTTGATGGGTTAAAACCTATCAATTTTGTAAGATAAGAGGCTAAATGTTGGTTTTTGCTCACGTTTAAGCACAATAAATAAACTTGAGAAAAATTTTGAAAAAAATCCACATTTGGGGGTGTTCAAACTTAAAAGTTCAAACCCACGACCCTTAAGTTGTGGGGCCACAATCTTTGCTGCAGTACCACACTAGACTCAAGGTTGTTTGTTATTGGTTGTTGCATTGAATTAGGGGTGGCAATTTCTTTCGATCTCAGAGGGTCTCGTGAGGATTTCTGTTATAGGAATGAGACAAATAGAAATATTCCTTTTTATAAGGTGGAGATGGGGGGCATTTCCTTCA